ATTTAGAATTTTATGCTACCAACTTTTCCAGTTGTGTAATTTTTAAAAACATAATTTGTCATATTCATGTTGACACGAATATTACGTCGGAATCAAATCAGCTGGGATTTGCTGTTACCTTCAATAATGACGTATAATGAGGTAGGTTAGTTATAATAAAATAGCATTTACATACCAACTTAACATGCCATGCCCGTATCCTCGTATGTGTTTCCCCTTCACGAGGATTCAGTCCTGGTCTGTTTTGTTGGCTTTGTACGAAATGTCAATTTATAAAGGAATATCAGAGTCAAACTTAATTCTGGCCGCCGTTGTCCTTTATTTATTTACATTAAACAAAGCTAAGGTAACAGTAGTGGTTATGAGTACTCGGGTACTCTTCCAACAAACAACACAAAGCCCAAAAAAGCAAAGGTAACATGCCATTCCTGAAACCTTTTTATGTGTTTCCCTCTTAAGAGCTATGCCAGACGAGTCATCAATATATTTTGTACAGTAATTTTTTCCTGTTCTGAGCATTGTACAATAATACAAGGTAGGGCAGCTTGAGTTGAATAACAAAAAATCAACTATGTAGGTAGTGGCTTCTTCTGCCAAATATAAAATAAATATACGCAACAACTGGTCGTCGTCTCTCAACTCTCGTTGACTTTAGACTACGTGCGCGCCGTTTCGCTTTCTTTTTTATGCGTTTTGTTTGTTTTGCTTTGAACACTAATACACACACAAATACACACATTCCTTCCATCTAACCAATAACACAAACATTATTCTATTTGGTGATTTTGCTGAAATTTAACATTCCTAATTTCAACAGAATATACATTTTTCTGCGAAAATGGGTGATGAGGAGCCGCCTCCTCGTCTAGACCCGAGGAAAAGATTTGAGCTTTTTAGCAACCCTGGAAGCAAAAAGTTTAAAAATAATCAGCCTTCTATGCGAAATAAAATGCCGCAGTGCTCTGCAAAAACAACACCAGCAAAAGAAAACACCACTCTCACACCATATGAAAATCAATATTTTAATGATACAAAGTCCATCTCCACCAACACAACTAACAACAGTCACTCCAACAATAACAATCCCTCCAATCCATCCAATATACCCAAAAACACAAACAAAACAGATATTTACAGCTATGATGATTATGAAAACCAAACAATTCTTTACAGCCCAGCCCATCCAGGTCCATATTATGTACTTCTTACTTCTGATGAGCCCATTTGCCCTAGAAGAAAGAACTCAGAACTACATTTGTATGCCAAATTAGCCAGTGTAAACATAAATGCTCATTTTGTATCTAAGAATATTGCATATAAAACCTTCCGTCTGAGCTTCAACAATTATAACTCGGAAAATAATTTTGTAGAGACGATCAAATCAACAGCAGCGACAATGATTTAAATCCAAATACAAAAATGAAAATGGACAAATTTATATCTCTTGTACGCCTATGTAAAAATTGCGGTCGTTTAGGCCATATAGCCGTAAAATGTAGAGCCAAAAAAAGATGCCTTCTTTGCGGGATAAACATTGAATGTCCCATAAACTGCACAGAGCCAAAATGTGATACATGTTTGTCGACGATTAAATGCAAAACGTACTGCACTCTACCCAGATGTATACTATGCAACATGGAAGATCATAATGCCATGGATGTCAAAAAATGTAAAAGATACAGTAATGAAAAAATATTTTGGAGGCTATGGCAATCACCAACCTTTCAAGGAAAGAATGTATCCCTAAAGTTTCAAACAATTACTTTGACATTTTAGATGAACCGAATTATTAAACTCAATTTCCTCAAATTTCTAGGACAAGCAGAAGACCAGTTACTTCCTTTAATGATGAACTCAACAGAAGGAGAACTAGAGTCAATTACAATAAAGTAGCAGCATCAATACCTCGTAGAGCACATATTACAGCTGAACAGGAAACGATTGTACCCTCTAAACCATCCTTTGAATTCCCAAATTTTTTCAAAGTTTCTGAGTATGAAAAAATATTATCCACTTTCACTCAACAAATGGCTGCCGCATTAACCAATGCCAAGTGTACAGAAGGATTACAGATCTTAGACAGTTTTTCAAATGCCTTAAAAGCACCAGCAATAGATGGACCTTCCAGTTCTAACCAAGCCGAACATGATAATCTTACAGCACAACATACAAAGTTTGAATAAAAATAAAAATTATCTAGAACTTTACCTAAACAAATTTTCTGTCGATATATGCATATTAAGCGAAATTTTTAACGTAGATGAAAATGCATCATCATCTTACGTAAACAATTATGGATTATTCTGCAAAACAAGAATCGACAATTATGGTGGCGTTGCCATCTTGCACAAAAAATCTATTAAAATGAAAAAAATACCTTTTGCATCGAACTTAGACATCTTAATATGTCAAACTACAAACCTGTCTCAAAATTTAACGATTGTCTCAGTATACTTTCCGCATTCTGTAAAATCCAATGTTTTAAAAACTGAAATATCAAAACTTTTAATATTTCTAAATGGAAAATCAAATGTTATTATTGGCGGGGATTTTAATGCGAGATGTAAAGCATATGGTGACGTTTTTGACACAGTTCGAGGATCCACTGTGCAAACCTTGATGGACAGTTCGGCATTTCGTTGTGTTAATGATGGCTCAGCAACCTTTAAAAAGAATCTATTTGACAATTCTTTCGGTTCTGTGCTAGATCTTACCTTCACAAATATGTCTTCAAACTTTAATTGGAATGTAAAAAATACAAGCATAGGAGGAAGTCACCACAGACCAATCCTTATGAACATAGATCATTTTACATCAAAGCAACAATACTTCCTAGCTAAAAAACATCTCTTCAAAAACTTATCAAATCTAAAAATTGATTCTAATATGAATGATATTCAATCGAAGTTAAAATCAACAATAAAAAAATCAACTTTTCCCATTACTACTGAAACAAAATTTCAAACATGGTGGAATAATGAGATTACCATACTCTTACGTCATAAAGAGGCCGCAGAACAGAAATTTGACAGATACAAAACCACTGAAAATGCCCTAAGTGCAATCAACGCTATATCTAAATTCAAAAAAGCCGTAAAATGTGCCAAAAATCGCGACAAACGCCGTAAACTGTCAGAATTAAGCCAATTATCTAATTCAAAATCGCTTTTCCGTTATGTAAAGAGCTGTAAATCGGTTTTCGAACCCCAATTTGGTTCTAAATGGAACACTGACAACAACGAAGCCTTCTTACGTCATTTGAGTGAACAGGTTCCCAACAACAGACAAACTATATCCATTTCAATTTATAACAATCAATCTGCAAATTTCTCCTTGGAAGAACTAAACAATGTTCTAGAACAAAAAACTAAACCATCTGCAGCTGGTCTGGATGGAATCACTTATGAAATGGTTAATAAACTATCTCAAGAGAGTAAGCAGCACCTTTTGACTTCTTTTAATAATCAATGGAAAAACTGTGAGTATTTTGAAGAATGGAGGAGAATAAAAATTGTTTCCATACCGAAAAAAGGAAAAAATTTAGACATCTGCACAAATTTTCGGCCAATTGCTTTAATATCTGTACTGGCAAAGATTGTAAACCTCATGGTCAAACAAAGGCTCAATGATTTTCTAGATGAACATAATATTCTTCCACCTAGATCTTATGCATACCGCAAACATGTGTCAACTTCAACATGCATTAATGACATTCTACAAACAATAAACACCTCCAAAGAAAAAAATGACAAGGTGATTGTTCTCTCGATGGATATATCGAAAGCCTATGAGTGTGTCGATATAAATTACCTGAAGATGATTTTAATAGAAATAAACATTCCACTCCAAATAAGAGTATGGATAATTAATTTTCTCTGCAAAAGGACTCTTTGTATGGGAAACTCCACCCTAAATATATACAATGGGATTCCTCAAGGCAGTTGTTTAAGCCCAACACTATTCAACCTATACACAATAGGCCTCCATGGTTTAGCTGATGAAGACACAAACATTTTCCAATATGCGGATGATTTTATTTTGCTTGTGGCAAGCCATGACTTTGATAGTGCCAACAATATTTTACAAATAAAAACCAATAACATGGTATCCTTATTAAAAAAACTAAACCTCGACGTCAATGTTGAGAAAACTTCAGTAATGTACGTGGCTAAAGGAGGTCGGAAAAATCCCAACATTTTACTAAATGGAGTCCAAGTAAATGTTGTTAAGTCCATTAAATTTTTAGGGAGACATATTAAAAACAGTCTATCACTCAAGGAGCACTACGAAGAGGTGATGATATCCTGCAGAAATACTGTTAATGCTTTAAAAATGGTCACAGGTCCAAAAAGTGGAATTCATCCCGCAAAAGCTATAAACCTGTCAAAATCACTTATCTTTTCAAAGACCGAATATGCAATCTCATCGATGGCTCACAGACCAATGTATATAAACAAGAAACTAACAAGCTTTCAAAATCAGTTGTTAAGAAAAAAATTGGGACTGGTGCCTTCCACTCCAAATCATGTGGTATACGCTCTAGCTGGTATTCTACCAACAGATTTAAGAGCACAACATTTGGGGGCTAAAGAATTGATAAGACTTAAAATATACAACTCTTCTCTGTGTGAATACTTCACCTCAAATATCTCAAGAAAGACTAGTCTTGGATATGTTTATTCAAAGTTTCGCACAATTTTTGAAAATTTAAAAATTGGTTACAATCAACATCCAACGAACAAGGTAGATTTCATGCTAGATGTATTTAATACTACCAAAAACAATACACCAATGGAATACTTCAAAGCTCACTACTACGAATTAATTAACGACTTCAGATCCGAAGGCGTTTCTATTTGGGCGACGGATGCTGCCGTTTTTAACAACAACACAGGTTGCGCTGTCTGCAATATATCTGCTAATCAAAATTTCGTTTTCCAAATTAATGAAAAACTATCTTCTCTCACTGGTGAACTATGTGCAATTAAAAAGGCAATCGATTTGATGATCGAAGACGGTGTCAGCACAGCTGCTTTATTTACAGACAGCAAAAATGCTTGTCTTCTGCTTAAAAACAACACATCTCACAATTTCACAGTGTACAACATTTTAAACAAAATAGTTAACTCGCATTTAAATAAAATTTCGTTTGTTTGGACACCTTCACATGTCGGTATACCAATCAATGAAACAGCCGATTATTTTGCGAAGCATGCTGCAAATGTTGGTTCACCAATCAACTTCTGTCTGTCGGTCACAGATGCGTTGAAACGAATTGAGTCACTCCTGTGGAATGAGTTCATAGAAGATTACAAGGACATCTCACGGACTAAAGGAACTTACTTCTACCAATTCTTCGCGGCGCCTGCTAAACAGCCCTGGTTTTTTTCATCAAACATGAAACCTGAAAATATAAAGATTGTTAATCGATTGCTCACTGGTCATACTTACACCAAAAAATATTTCCACAGAATTGGAATTGCTGACTCAAATCTTTGTGAAACCTGCAACGAAATTGAAGATGAAAAACACATTATTTTTTTCTGCAGAAAGCATCAAAATCATAGGAATGATTTTGATTTGTTCAAGAAATTTAACAACTTACCGGAAATCCTGATGTCCAATAACCAACAAAATATAGATGAATTAATCAACTTTATTGCACTTTGCAAAATTGAAGTTTGACTCTTATTTGTAAACAATCATCATCTTTGCTTAAAGTTCTTTTTTCCTTTAGTTTTGATTTTGTTTTGTTTTCTTATGTATTCCTTTCATATCACTACATTCTGTAAACACACACATACTGTAAACAAAAAGAAAACGAAAATAAAAGAGTACTGATACTTTTCAAGTAACCAATAACCGGTCATGGTGAATGGGCACGAAAGTGTTCTAACCACCAACATACTTGACGAAGTAGAAGTACAAAAAAAAAAAAAACAACTGGTGGTGTTTATTTGACATTATTTCAACACATAACTAAAAACGCGAAAAATTAATGAAAAGTTGTGATTTTTTCCAAAATCCAGTAGGGAATACCATGAAATATTTGTTTCATCAATAATAAAGTAATTTCTTCCAGACGGATGCGCTAAAAACATTATTTTCATTTAAACATTGAGAAAAAATTGTAATCAGTTGGTAGTTGTGCCCATGGTACAATTATACAAGGTAGGGTATCCTTTGTCATCAAAGAGAAAATATACCTCTAACTTGTGAGGTGGCGTAGGGGATGATAGATACCAAGCAACGGCTCTGATTGGCTTTAACATCTCGAAGCCCAGGCTTATCTTGGTCCCTCTTTCATCTCAACTGTGGACACTGACCTCCACGCGGTGTCACCTGGGTTAACTATTTTCATCACCCGTTGAAATAGTGAGCTAATATGTGCCGCGAGTTCACCCATAAGAACTATAAAAAAAATGGTTGAGGCGTCGGGTTAGTTGCCCACACTCGGAAAACCCCTCCTACTATGAAAAAGCAAAGAAAACCCCAAACCCTAATGTTGACGACCACTACAAACGTATAAAAGACCACGATCTGCGAATCTGCACTTGTAATGTGCGCACTTTGTACAGAACATACGCAGTTTTTGCTGATGTATGTACTCAAGAAATACATTGCCTTACAGGAAATGCGATGGAAAGAGACATGCGCAAGGAATCAGACGATTACACACAGTATTATAGCTGTCATGAAACGAAATATGAATTTGGCTGCGGATTTATGGTTAAAAGACCTCGTCTCCAGATTCACTCCAGTAGATGAGCGAATTGCTATAATCCGCATAAAAGCGAAGTTCTTCTACATCAGTATTATTTGCGACCATGGTCCGACCGAGGACAAAGATGAGCAGACCAAAGACATATATTAAGAGCGCATATGATCGCTGTCTTGGCAGCGAAGGGAAAATATCTTTGGCCCCACCTTCGGAAAATTCAGTCTTCATGAAGAAACGTCCGACAACGGCATGAGGTTGATTGACTTCACGGCAGCAAAAAACATGGTCGTTAGTAGCACCAGATTAAAAGCATCTCGATATACACAAGGCCACCATATAATAATTACAATGCCATGTGTCGAAAAAATAGTAAAATCTTTTAGATTCTAGCAGTACGGGAACAGACCAAGTGTAAGGTAATGTCTGGTACAGACGAGCATTGTTCGCTCTCTCATTCGTTGTTCGACCCTTAATTAATTAGTTCCCCATACAAAATATAAAAATGTATTAAAAAAAAACAACATTTTCAGAAAAAATGGAAAACATGAATGAAAAGTAAATACCTATGGGTTTTTACTATATTCAGGAGAAAGAGAATATTTTTTCTATTTAAATTCATAGGCAATACACACAAATAAGTTGAGATTTCGGTGTAAAAGGAGAAACAACAAATTTGAAATAGAAAAGTCTGATGACATGAATTAACGGGTTAATTCATGTAGGTAATTCTGAGAGCGAATGTCCGTCAGAATATGGTATAACAGCAAGTGTTACTGTACTACAAACGACACAACAACCACATGAAAATTTTTCGTTGTAAGTCTGCTTTTCCACAGGCAGATTTTTATTTGTCAAATTTTTTGTTTTCTCTTTTGAAATTTTCGCTTGCTTTTCCATTATCAAATTTTTCTTTGCCAAATTTGCGAATCAAAATACAAAAGAAAGAAAATAAAAGTCAAAAGTGTTTGCATTTTAAAGATTTTTTTTAATATTTTATTTATTTTTTATATATTATATTATATAAATTGCAAAAATTAAAAATAAAATTTCACTTGCACAAATTAAAGAAACAGGTTTGTAAACAAAAGCCGGCTGTGTGTCAGTAAAGTGAATAGGTTCAAAAGGAAATGTCAACAAAATTGTTTTCAACGAACAGAGCAAAGCAGAATTTGCGTGTACGGCTAATTCTGAACAGGCAAATTTTTGGTTTTCTTCCTCGCACCCCTCTCGCCTACAAACTCAGTATTTGCCAAATAAAAATTTGCCTGTGGAAAAACAGACTAAGACTAGTGTCAAAGTCATTTGACTGGAAAATGTAAAAAAACACACACATTTTCAACAAATTTCATTTACTTAAAAATTTAATATGTTTGAATCTTCAAATAAAATTTAAAAACATGAATGAAAATCTATCAAATTTTTATTTCTATCGATTCTACATCTTTCCTCTAATTGTGTTATTTATTCAATTATACGTGTATAACATATAAAAATTCTGGAAATTGCCAATTATTCAATGAAGAATAATTTACTGCTTTAAACTTTCCAACAGGCAGATTGAGTAATTGAATACAGGAGGCCATATTGTTATGTCACCCTCGTGTAAACATACCATAAACCATCTGTCATCAGGCAATGATCGATTATGATATCGATTAGTCGATTCCTTGCCAGCTTTTTATCGGACTAAGGTGCCCTTATTTCTTTCTCTTTTTGCATTGATTAAAATTTTGGCGTCATTTCAAAAGTGCAAAGTGAAAAAGAAAGACGTACAGGCCAAAAAATCTGCAGTTGTGTAAAGTAACTAAATTAATAGGTGCGAAGTGAAAAGATACAGCCTCAATTGAAATTTTAATTAATACACCAGTTGGAGTATTATTTTGTTTGGCTGGTAATTGAGCTTTTCCTTGGTGAGTTTACCATTTAGCTGCAAATCCCTATAAAGCAGGCAGCTTATACATAATTGTGTTTTTTTTCAGAAATTTGCAATAACGGTATATCTAACGGTACCCAACCGCGTGAGCACCTCAGTGTGTAGTTTTTGGAAACCACGTGCCCTCATTCATAGCGGTATTTCATTCAAATTTCTGAAAAGTGAATCAAACCCAGTCACAACTTGTTGATGCCGGCTATCAATTGTGGATGTCATTTAGCCACACCGAAGCAGCAGTAAATTTGTGCATTAAGGAATATGAAAATTTAACACCTTTGTGGACCATTTAGTAAAATCAATTACCACCACCAACTCCATCGTCATCCACAGCGCAAGTACATCCTGCTGGACATAGCAAGCAGATGTATCAAGCTCCCGGTAATGTTTTTGAGTTACGTACAACTGTAAGTAAAGAGACAGTCTGCGCCCATCTTTTGTGTCATCTGGTACCCTATCCAACCAGTCACAGACGGGGAGGTTAGGGACCACATATCCTCGACGGTCAGCCGAGTACAGTTAGACGTTTCTGGTCTATACCAAAGTACTCTATATATATATATATATATATATATAAGTTTACATAGATGTATGTTAATATAAGGAAATATTACATACTAATTATTCAATATATTATTTAATATACATTATTTTATATATATACTGATACATATATACATGGTACATACCTATATATATATATACGTAAGTAATATATATTAATTTGTAATTCAGGCATATGAAGTTAAAGTTGGCTCCATCAACCTATATGTATATATGTATGTACTTGAGTATGTATGTATACATACATATACAAATTTGAAAAGAATACTCAATTAAATATTTTCTTCTATTCCTTTTTTTTATAAATTTAAATTTAAGCCTATTTTATATATACTTTATATATAAGTTTTTTTCTTTTGGAATATTTTCTGTTAAATGTTGATCCCTTTTCACAACCAAATTTAGTGTGAATATTTCAGGATAGACCCATTGAGCCCGATAGGTTATATATACGTCCTTTATAAAATAATTTAGTGCACAGTGGCACGAGAATTGGGATGAACATACGAATTTATTTCAAATTTTGTATGAACTTTCCTTAATTGTAATCATCGTTTGAATTCATTTATATTATACATAAGAATATGCTTCCCGCTAGATTTAAGTAAATCTAATATTTGTTTTTCTTTGAATTAGTTGAATAAAACTTAAAAGAAGTTATGAAATGAAAAAGAATGAAAGAAATTAAATATTATAATATGTTTTAATAAATTATCAAAGGGGATAATGTAAAATAAGGGTGAAGTCAATATAGATTTTGGGGGTATCTCACCTTAGTGGGAGCCCAAAAAGGGGATTCATGTCGGAATCCATAGGGTGGGCGATGAAGGTATCCATTAACATCTGGATACCAGAAAAAAACGCTGTCTTGAAAATAACGCAACAACAATTCCTATCTTTTTGAATTTTATTTTATATTAGTAACTGAATTTCTTGTTGTCTCTGTTATGCACACCACTGAGAGTGCTGACTGAGAAGAGCCGGAGCAAACATAAATAAATCGATACCACTGTCATCTAGGTATAGTTAAACGATATCGACCTCTCGTTTTGAGAACGTGCATGTATAACAGTGGGTACTACAACAATATAATAAAGAACAATTTAGAATTTTATGCATACCAACTTTTCCAGTTGTGCAATTTTTAAAAACATAATTTGTCATATTCATGTTGACACGAATATTACGACGGAATCAAATCAGCTGGGATTTGCTGTTACCTTCAATAATGACGTATAATGAGGTAGGTTAGTTATAATAATGTGCCCATGGTACAATTATACAAGGTAGGGTATCCTTTGTCATCAAAGAGAAAATACACCTCTAACTTGTGAGGTGGCGTAGGGGATGATAGATACCAAGCAACGGCTCTGATTGGCTTTAACATCTCGAAGCCCAGGCTTATCTTGGTCCCTCTTTCATCTCAACTGTGGACACTGACCTCCACGCGGTGTCACCTGGGGTAACTATTTTCATCACCCGTTGAAATAGTGAGCTAATATGTGCCGCGAGTTCACCCATAAGAACTATAAAAAAATGGTTGAGGCGTCGGGTTAGTTGCCCACACTCGGAAAACCCCTCCTACTATGAAAAAGCAAAGAAAACCCCAAACCCTAATGTTGACGACCACTACAAACGTATAAAAGACCACGATCTGCGAATCTGCACTTGTAATGTGCGCACTTTGTAC